AAATGCTATACGACTGCCGCCGCAAGCTTCTGATAGATCACAAGCCCTTGCTGGGCATCCAGGCCTACACAGCCAACTGGCTACAACGTTGGGCTCTTACCTGAATGGGATATGATTTCGAGATCCACTACCAGTCGATAACTTCCATTGCCCAAGCGAATGTACTGTCACACCTAATTGATGCCCACCAGCAAGAACATAAAGACACAATCATTGCATCCGTCGAGATTGAACCTGACGTCAACTAGCTGGTGAGTGGCGCATTGCCACACCGACTCAACAAAAGATGGGGTGTGAATTTGTGGGTGAAACCCCTCGAGGGGCTACCTCGCATGAAAGCAAGTCCCTAGGAGACAGTCCCAGAGATGATCGTATTATTTTTGATCTTTCTTATCATACTTCCCTCCCTGCCATTGAATCTGTTTGGCTCTTGTACCTGGTTACTTAAACATACACTGTCATTGTCTTATCGACATCAACCATTACTTTATTCCTTAGACCACGTACTTGATTTGTTTAGTGTTCTTTCTTTGTTAAATCTATGTCAAAAGCCGATTAACTATCTGTATGCTTTCCCAATCCCCCTGTTTTCGATATTTTGTACATGACCGTAATTCGTTGGCCATACCTTGATGGGCGTGTATAACATTACAAAGAACGTTTATTCAATTATTTAGCAATGTATCTATTTATCCCACCTCAACATCAACTCTTAATATGCTGGGCTGAAGAAGCCATAAGTCTCCACTTGCAGGTGAAGACTGAGAGGAAAGAGACTGAGCCCATGTAGTCTCACAACTCCTTAAGATGCAACACATCTTGTTTGATCAAGTCAATTCAGTAAGCAAGTCTAGGAACGTCCAGGTACTTCCCTCTGCCTTTCCTTGCCCCTGTGTGCTTACTAACATTACTCGGTCAACGAAGCTGTGGCACTGAACATTTATAGGCAGCTACATTGATACATTAATCCTATCTTTCTCTACTCTTTCGCATATGAGCAAAACAGCACCAAGTATAGACAGCTTGCCCTCTATTACTTTAGAATATTATATACAACAATGTGCTACTCGTCTGACTTTGGCTTCTATTGTTTTATCCCCTTTCACGTTCCTTCCCTTTTAGTAAGTCTACCGCCTCCATGGTATCCTTGATCTACACCGGAAAAAAACTGAGATCGCTCGTGCTGATAGGAAACGACAATGAAAACCCCGAAAAATATTCCCAAATGTTACCATTGCATTCCAGTATAAGATTCCAAACATTGACAACCCTACATGTTGCATATGTAAATACGATCCGTTCCTTTATGGGCACAGTTTCTCGATAAAAAGAGGAATATACATTATTATTTGATTCGAAAGACGACTGCACACTAGCAATGACATTTTCATTTGTGAGCCCAATGAATGTAAGTCAAACATGTTAAAATGCTACATAGGAACTTGAAAAACGATTAGATTAGCATGGGTGACAGATATATTCCGCAACGTGTTTTATTTTATTGCGTTGTACAGATTTAAATTTTACTTGCTCCTACAATACAGTATTCGGGATTCATGGGTCAAGGTGGCTGATGGAGGAGTCCCCATAGATGTGATTTAGGTAGATATTTCTAGAGCATTCGACAGAGTCAATCACTTAGTCTTCCTCCGAAAGTTTAGTGTCTACGGTATCAACGGTTCCTTTCTCACATAGTTGAAAAGCTACCTACACGACAGAACTATAAAAGTAAGAATAGTCGACATCCGCCCCGAAAGCTTGTGCGTCTTCACTGGTGTGCGACAAGGATCCGTCATCGGCCGGCTACTGTTTTTAGTCTATATCAATGACCGCAGCAAATATTTGCAGATTATGCTGTCTGAAGAGCTATTCGCTCAACAGCCGACCGTGCTTATCTCCATAATTATTTGGACCGAATTAACGAGTGGGCAGAAAGGAATCAGTTCCCACTGTACACTGCGAAGTGCCACCTGCTGACAGTGCGCAGTAACTTCAACAGTACATATCTTCTGGAGTAGCACGTCCTGTAACAAGTGGCCAGTGAAAGAGACTTGGGTATCATCGTCCAAGTCTGGGTAATTCGCTCCAATGTTTGAGGGGAGCAAATGTGGCGAACTTGTACTTAAGGCTTTTGAGGCGAGCTCTTGGTGCCTTTGAGCGATGTCTGATACTCCTACTGATTAACTTGCATATTCGTCTTCATGTTTAGTATGTGGTTCAGGCCTGGCGTTCGTGGCAAAAACAGGACATTCGTCTTATGGAGCAACCGCAAAGAATAGCCACTAGGGCAATATTTGGCTATCCAGTCCCATCTATGAAATGCCTCTACGCTTAATGGGTATGTTCTCCTCAGAGTACCGAGGAGATCTCATTCTCGTATACCCAAATACTACCAGTAAATGATCATCCATGTAAATCACTGCTGACCATTGCACCTTACAGACAATGCCGAGGGGATAACTTGAAACTAGCAACTTAAAAATCCCGTTTGAATTGTAGAAAGATTTTTACTCTCTTAGAATCTGTTCACCTTGGAATGCACTGCCAGCCCATGGGGTGAACTCATTAAGCATCGAGATATTCGGAAGACAGATAAACGCTACCCAACAACATGAGAAAGTGAAATGTCTACAGTACTGATAATTCACCTTCCGCACCGGAACATTTTGAGTTAATTTTGCTTTAGTTTTTACCATCCTGTGAGTCTTGTAGTTATTCTCCTCATCCAGCCATACACTACTGAACTATTCGCCTGTAATATTTTAATTATGCACAATAATGTAGTACTCGCCTAGTTTTGGTTGACTGTACCAATTGTTTCGTCTTCATTCGGAAACCTGCCGTCACCATGCTCTACCCTCTCCAAATTTCTGCACTGGAATCAAACAACTGAGAACTGGCAGAGAATGTAAATGTCCCTGTTGTGCCCCGATACTAAGAGAAATAGACGGTTGCAATTTAATCCAATTCCAATCCGATAACGCGGCACACCCGCTATACAGCTGAGTAACAGAACTCACGTGAGTCGCTCGCAAAATTAGAACACCATCTGGTTACTACGGTTTGACAACCTTTAATCGCTAAGTAGTGTGTGAGGTCAACTGGAGCACATGACCAGCCTGTTGCTGTCCAATCGATGGCATAGATGACCTTTGACCTGTCGTTTCATGAGGAACGATGACCGGCGGTCGTTCATGCCTTGAACTAGGTCATTTACTACAATGAATGTTGTAAGCGATTACGGGGGCGAGTGGAGTGATGTGACCAGGACGATACGGCACTGCCACGCTGGAATTGGCGGAACAGCCAGTTGTCGCTGGCGGTCTGCCACCTCGCACTCGAGTAACCCCAGCTTGTTCACTCGAACCTCGCTGAGTAGAATTACAGTCGGTTAACGCGTCACAAACAGACAGTGGCCCTCCAGTCGCACACGGCAGACAAAAGCTCACTCGGGGCATGAAAGTGTGAAAAGCGCCGGATACTGCGTTTGCGTTAGCAAGAGATGAATGCATACGTAACTCGGGTCATCTTCTCTAAGTCCCCGTAAGGTTGAAACGGACTTAGGTTGATCCATTACGCGATCAAAATTATTATCCCCATTCCGTTAGCTTGAGAAAGATTTGGTAACCAAGCAGAAGTTATCATCTCAGAAGGGCTTATAAACAAACCGCCTGAAAAAGCTGGTGTGCCAAAAGAAAAACGGTAAATACCATCGAACGTTCTCAAGCTCCACTGAAATGATCGGCTTTAGTCCTTTTTTGAGAAGCCTCGTCGCTCAGTGAAGCATCCACTACACATACGAAAATATGCTGGGAATCGTCAACAGCACGCATCGGCCAGATTGATTTATGGTGACCTGCAAAAGTAGCAGTCGTTCTGGGAGCCAACCCTGTCCCCTGCACGTGCATAACATGCGTGATAACGTACTATCGCCCGCACAATATCGGAGCTAGTACTCAGCCATTGTGGCCCGCCATCGTCATCCCGTGGGCTAAGCAGATTCGGTGGTTGACTCACAAGACAAAAGTCATGGTGGGAATCCAGCAGCGCATTCCGGAACGGGTGGTGGGTGTCTAGCCATGATGACTTCAAAAAATACAACAACAAACATCCCCACCACTCTCTAACAGTCTTGATTCCTATCAAATGAAGACTGGACCAGAAAGCAAGCAATTGAGTTGAAAGTACCAAAAGGGTAGAGAACACTAATGGGAGGCATAGTACGTGTCCCTTCGGTCGGTAGGGGAGTGATTCAAGTTACCTACTTGCAATCCACGGGTCACCGGTCCGGGACAGCGCGGAAGTGGGGGACCGAGAAGTATACTAAACCCCCATAAAAAAGCTGGTGCTTAGATCGCAATGAGAGGTCGCTACAAGTTCCCGGCATACTGGTTCATCTTCGAAATTTGATCATGCGAGAGAAGCGTGTGTTGGGTGGATACTCTAGAGCGTACGCAGGTTAACTGGGTAAAGACAAATAACATCAATTGGGGACAAGTGACAGATTTCTCAACGGGTGGACAATACAAAAGCTCTCTATTAAACACAGATGCAAATAAGATCAAAAGGATATAGGCCGTAACACAATCCACAATCATGAAATTTCGCGACTAGGGTTAAACCGAGCGCGTGGACAAAGCCAATGGTGAAAGTCTGATGCGACAAGTCTTTAAGCAGCATAGTAATCAACAGCGAATTGAAAAGCACAATTTCTACTATGGAGCGATCAATAAATGGTCCGTGAATAGTCCTACAAGGGTGAGCAAACACCGAAAGAGTTGGGAAAACGAGAGTCGCCATGTGCGTACATTGCGTGTGTAGAGATGTACAAAAGGGAGACAGATTCCGTGCGGTGTGACGGGAACGCGAATTCAAGCACCCGTGAATGAAAGTGTACACAAAGCAGTGGGGGGAGCTGGATGGAGGAAAATGCTGCGTGGACGAGAACGACACCGGAAGGGAGCGCTAAAGTCAATCCCGGGGGTTCAGCATCCGTGCGATCAATGCAAGCGGGCCAATTCCTCGACGACCTTGACCAAATCGGCCACAGTGCACTCACGAGTTTCGGGATCGGAAACACATGACGAACCGGCCACGCCGAACTCATTCATGGAGATCTGAAATGAGGAGAACAGGAAGTTTCAATCCGACGTGGTGAACGAGATTATTCAGAACAGTTAGTAGCGCTAAAATAATAGCGTCATCATTACAATTCGTCAAAGGACGTGAGTCGACCATAAGGGTAGTTATAAGTAGCATGATTAGAAATGCAGTATTGTGTGCCAATAAGTTGTTGAGAAAGGTGATCACGCAAAAAAGCACACATGAAGCATTAAGCGCAGTGAGTTCCAGTTAGCCACCTATAACCTGAGCATCGAAATGCGTCACTGCAACACATAAAAGCCAATAAATAAAAGGGATGAAAAGAGGTGTGATAAGGAACAAACAAGTCGACAGAGTCAGTTGGAAAATCGATGGAAAATGCAAGAAATGTAAGGTGCAAGCCAGAGGTTGAATGCACCAGCACTTCTGACTCCGTCGCAGCACAATATCTGATTGATCAAGCCATCTCAACGCTTTGCATCTCTTAGATGTACGACTGTCCGGAAACCCCAATGCCTAGTAAGCTAGGTAAACAACCTCGAAGAAGGTTGGAGAGTTGGTGAAAAGTTTGGAAAATCGGCAGAAACTGCTCCATCAAACAACGCTGTGGCGCCAAAGAGTCCAAGATGCAGATCGACGAATAACAATAAATTTGCTCCACACAATGGAGTAGCGAACATAACGGACACAGAAAGGACGATTTAGGAAAGAACTCTGTGTCCAAGAAGAATAAAGAGGGGGTATGCTCAAACAGTGTGGAACTGCAAATTGTACGCTAGGCGACCTTGATAGGAACATCACCATTGTCATCGCTAAAAGGTGCACCAGTACCAAGCACTGGTTCTGCCATACTACCAGATATAATAATAATACCTATAGCCACTGAACATGAGTAAGAGGAAGGGCGAGGAGAAACCTAGTGTAAAACCTAGATGCCCTAAGTAAACATTCAGGAGGAAAGCGTCTAAACCATACCTATACCAACTGGTAGGGAAAAATGGCAGGCTGTCGTTAGAACTGTGCGCCACTTCGGGAAGGAGTTCTCCTTGCGAAGCACGCAATTTATGAGCAATAGCACTAATGAATGAAAGATTCGGCTAGCAGACGGTACTACACAATCCGCCGGAGTCAGTTACGAGCCATATTCTGTAGGGTCTAGAGCCAAACACAAGGCGGGTAGAGTGGACCCCAGCCAAAGGGGTGAGACGAACAATATTCGACTGAGTGGTAGTCTTTTCGTTTCTCATTAACACGCCTGCAATTGCGTTCCTCAATCGATCGCTGGTCAAAAGGATTCCACATCTGCGTAATAATCCTGGGGTCACCGATCAAAATCTACGTAGATGCGAGCGACCTCACGGCCTACCCAGGCCTCGCGCGAATGCTAGTGATCACACGGCAGTAAAGCGTCGATACGTGGTACGCCGGCGTACTGTTAAAGCCCTTTCAGTAAACACCAAGTATGAATACGTAGCACATACCAAACAAAATGTGATTAACTTCAAAATCAAATAGTCCATCACCTGATAGGAAAAGTACTGGAGATGATAATTTCGTACTCTCGGAACTAGCCAAGAGTGCGAGTCTATCGGATCCATCAGGATCAGAACCCATAACCACCGGTCGGCCGCTGATGTCACGGAGTATGTCAGGCAGCGGCGGGCGGTTATAAATTGCAAGCTAATTGCAGTTTAGTGCGTCCCACTATCCACTCCCATGTAAGTTGCGAACGGTGCACGTGAGAGCGAAGGATCCACGAATATGACTGGCTGGAAACTGACACGAAAAAAACACTCAATGGCGGGTAGTGTTGCGAGACCTTAGTTTAGAATAACAATTAACGTATATTACCGTGTATAAGCCGATACGTATATAAACTGACAGTGTGACTGCAACGTCAAATTTGTCAAAAATCATAAGTCCGTATATTAGCCGACCCCCACAAAAATCAGCAAAAAGAGAAACGAAATTGTTTCTCACGATTTTGACACACAACACAATCTGCTCTCACTTGAGTGTGCTCATGCGAAAGCTGCTCTACTATTGATCAGTTCTGGCGACCCAATGTGTTATGTAGTTAATGGGAGTAAGAGCCGTTAGAACAAAGATTTTAACCGCACTGGACAGTGTATTGATTCGATGTCAAGTCACACGAAACAGTAAGACAGTCGACAATATGGGATAAGGTGAAACCGTAAGTCAGACACCGCCGCGCATAGTCGGGGGCCTCATGCATCTGAATCGCTGTGGTGCAGCGGGTGAGAGGGAAGTTCACGATCAGTGGTGTGGGATGGCGTTGTACTTTTAATGCACCAGATTGACTAGGACAGCATACGGTATAAGCGCTTTGGTTCGCTAATCAAAATAGCGCTAACGCGACGTCACATGATCCAGCTGAGAGGTAATGTGCCCACATTTCGTGTGATCTTCCATAGCCATGGAAAGGCGAAAAAATAAATGGACAGAAGGGATGTACATATGCTGCTGATATTAAATTGAAAGTTATCGCGTCTGTCGAGCAATCTCATAATTGTATGGCTACACGCTATTTCACGGTGAATGAAAAGCAAGTGAGAGAGTGGCGAAAGGAAAAGTCAGAAGTGGCACCAATGCCTGTAGCCAAGAAATCAGCAGGCGGTAGAAAAACCATGTTTCCTGCATTGGAGGAATAGTTAGCGCAGTGGGTTATGGAGTCACGGCACAGCGGGTTAATTGTTACCCGAACGAACATTCGTATCAGGGCGATCAAAATCGTAAAAGTCCAGAATTCCAAGCATCAAAACCGGCGAATTTTTTGCATCCGCGAATGGTACAATCGTTTTATGAACCGATTCGACATGTGTCTGTGCAGTCGCACAAAACTAGCTCAGAAACTGTCGAAGGAATTGGGCAGTAAAGTTGAATCTTGGATTCAGTTGAGATTCAGCTGAGAAAGCAAAACGACTTTGAACCGTCCCAAATAGGGAATATGGACGAGACGCCAGTGTGCTTTGATATGCCCTCAAATGACACGGTGGAGCGGAAAGGTGCTAACACAGTTTTTGTAAAAACGACGAAACACGAAAAGACACTGTGAACAGCTGTTTTAGGGTGTGTGGCGGATGGTTCCCGCCTATCAGATTTCATTATTTTTAAGCGTAACTCGCTGCCTAAAGGAACGAACGTCCCAAGCAGCGGGTTTGTCCGGGCTCACGCGAAAGGATGGATGGACAAGAGTGGCACTATAGACTGGTTGAATACAGTTTGGGGAAACCGAAGCGGTGCCCTTCTAGAGAAACTACCTATGCTAGGGCACACCGAACTGTGAACGTGGAGAAACGATGCCGGGAACTGAAGTCGCCCGTGGTTTTAATTCCCGGCCACTGGATGTCGGTCTCAATAAGCGTTTTAAAGAGAGCCTACGGGCCGGGTGGGTTGAATGGATGGCATCGTCTGATTTAGCGTTGACGAAGGGTAGCAATGTGAAAAAGGTTGACAGTGTTACCATTGCACAGTGGATGAAAGAATCGTGGCTGGATATTCTACCAGAAATTATCGTACGATCATTCGAAAAGTCCTGCATCAGTAATGCTATGGATGGAAATGATGACGATGGCATTTTTTGAGGAATATGACAATGACGACAGCAGTGAAGTTGAAGATGACGATATTCCCCCTGCCGTCCCTATGACAGACGATCAGTACCAGAAACTGTTTGAAGACTCTGACTCGGATTCTAGTTTCGAAGGATTCGATTAATTTTAATACCACTGTGCAGCGTTTGGATATGTTAGCATATAAACTCTACCAGTACCTGCTGTTCTGTCATGTCTTTTTCCAATCTTATTGTGTGTGATGGTGTTCGATTATGTATAATCAGTAGGTTACTGTTACTGTCATCCGTCGCGAAAGTTAAATGTGCATTATACCGATAATGTTCGACACAAGCATAATGTGTCTACCTAAAGGCACTTCAAATACCCTCCTGTGATACCGTCTGTCACTAGCGAGTGGCGCTAAACCAAGATGGTGGCATAGAAGTGCAGTGAATTTATGGGTGGATTTTGCATGTGATTTGTTCAAATTGCGCATAACCTTTGTATAGGCCGATCACCTACTACAAACATGGAAAATTGTCCAAAATTCTCCGGTTTGTACATGGTAGTGTATGGTAATAACAACGATAACAAAATAACGTTGAACGCCAATTGAATACGAAGAAAACGGAAGAGAGCTGAATGAATCGGGTTGAAACAAAAAGTAACAGTTTGGCAACCACACAGAAAAACGAATACAGGAACACCACGGACTGCGCGATTGAATCATGGCTGTCAGAGCCTCTAGCCATTGCAAAAGTGAGAACAACGAGACGAGGTAGAACCGAAGTATATCTGTCTTAATCAGGCATGGTATTTTATAGGAAACAAAAATAATAAGACATGATACAGATCAATGAAATTCAAATGTGTTTATATCTGGAGCGGAACCTAACTAGTGACCAAGTGAGTTCCATTCAAATGCTGTGGTTCCGCGTATCTGGCTTGTATCGACATTCGATCAAATCAGGCTCCAATGATTCGTTCCTCTAACATGGACCACGCCAAGGTCCCCATCGGCAGCGGCCAGACTAAATCTATGTGAATTTCGAAAAATCCTTATACCACGCCATCGATTAGCCACCTCGCGATTTCGCCCAATTTAATACAGCCACGGTGTATAACGCACATCGAGGAAGCTGGTCGATGGATATATGAGGGGCGTGACATCCAAACGTAAACGGCTGAGTACCAGAGGGCTTCTTGTCAGCAACCAAATGGTGTGCCTCAGGATTGCTCACGCGGTGTTCTTACCAGATGTGAGCAACACTTAGCAGGCACCGCTAAGCAAACAAAGTCAAGTGTCTAATGTCTTCACTGTGAACTGGCCAGGTGATAGAGCAACACCAGCCTGATCAGCACCTGATAGTGCCTGAGCCACTGGCATGCTACACGGGTCTGGCTGATACACGAAGTAATTTAAGCAGTGAAGACCACACCCATCTGAACACCTAATGGTTTCGGACACTGGTACAGAATGAACAATCGATGCTTCGTGGGCAACGACACTTAAGCCGTTGAAAGGGGCAACCATCTAAACTGGGAAACCAGCAGCCGCGATGTTTCGGATTGAGAGGAGGACCCCTCTGGTGTCACAGATGCTAATACAGCCATGCGCATCGCTGCTAACGCAGCTACCAGGATGACTGAAGTGAACGACTTCCTGCAGCCACTTTAATCAAAGAATCAATGGGTTACCAAGTCGCTTACAGTCCTGCAATGGAAATTTGCACTTTGAACGTGTGACGCACATACGTAAGCGTACGGAAAAGATAGCTCAAAGTAAACGCAAGAGTAACGATTGCGCTGATGTGCACTTATCTCAAATAGCAAGAGCTTGCTATCCGCACGACTGTGCCGGGAGGGAGGAGGGAACACTCGAGGGTGGAGTCCATCATAAGAGTGGAAAAAAGGGAGAAATGGAACAAAGCTTGGTAAATACCACTAGTTTAGAGAAGGTTGTCTGAATATACGGCAGACATGGCTTCGAATGTTCCGGTACAGCGTGCGCAAAAGGTTCACATATTCTATGGGAACACGCGGACCCGGCGACATTTCTGCATCTTTGCTGAACGATTGAGGTAACTCTTTGTTGACTGGACTCGCTTCTCTATTTAACATGGTTTGGAACACTGAACAAATGCCTTCCGATTGCCGACTGTCAAAAAGAGTCAGCGTACTTCGCGCGAAAATCCATGAGTCATTAGTCTTATTTTTACTGCCTCCAAACTTATCAAGTGTATCACTCTCCGATTACTTACTGGTCGCCGAGAGAACCGAAACAAGGAAAGCCATGCTTCTACCCTAGTCGTGGTTTAATCGAGCACATATTTACTCTCCGTCAAGGTTTAGTGTAGAGGCACATATACAGACGACCGAGAATGGTGGTTTTTCTTGATTTAGTGTTCAATTGAAATGAACTGCACTGAATGGGGACATACTGTGGCGGGCAAAAGGAGTAGAAAAGAGTGATGAAATTAAAGAACACAACCGTAGCCGGTCGGTAATCCCGTTACATCCGAAAGACACAGGTAGGGAGTCTAGATGAGACGAGTGGAGCAGTGCGGAGAAAGAGTGAGTGGGTACGAACTCACCGGAAAACGGAGGTTTCGAACCAATTTCGCCTTGTCCTCATTGCTCAAATCCAACAGAGTCTCTATCAAATCACCATCGACAAAGTTGTGCGCCATACGAGACACTCGATCGGCTCTGAACGCCCGCCATGTGTCGTGTGCGAAGCCACCAACCGGACTGATCAACTTGTTTAATCTGGACTCGATTTCTTTCAAGAACGCGAACAAAATCGGCGATATTTGAATGATAAGGCCCAGACAGCCACTCACACCTCCATACAAGTGAGCTGGACCACCGATCGCAGGCCAGCGTTCATCGTTACTCTGCATCACTAGATTGCCTGTGACATGATGCAAAAGGGACATGTATACAAAAAAGGGTAATTCAGTGAGTGGGGGGATCGAACAATACAAAACACCAATGGTCACATACGCAGGTGTGGCCAGTCTGTATTCAAAAGAAGATATAGAAGGGGTGCTTTGGCAACACAGGGAATTCACACATACCAGTCGACAGATGGTCAAAGATGATATGCGCATCCAGAGCGTACAGCTACTAAATTCTTACTTAAAATAGCAAAAAGCAACTTAGTCACATCAGGATGTCGTTATCTTGCATTTGTATTTCGGAGGCAGCATACGTAGACTCCAAAGGAGTATGTATATATAGATCCGATGGATGCACACTACTGACGATGTTCAACAGGCTGAAACTACAGTCTTGTGCTTTTCCGGGCATGTGGACGACTATCTGATTTGGAAAATGGCTGCGAAGAACCTCACTTAATTATATATGGTTGGCGGCATCCGGTTTCGGATTTACCTGTCACTGTGGCCAGCCACAGGACGCCTGCGCCTACAGAGGCACCACCCACGGAGCCGGCCCACACTCCTTCACAGGCAAACACAAGCACGCTGTATTTGGGGAATCAAGCGCACACAAGGCGGTGGCTGGACTGTAGTCCGCTCCACACTGAGTGCATGGAACCGCTCTTTGAGCCTAGCACGGCCACAAGAACCGTGCACCCCGTCCCCTCCAGCAACGACCAACTGTCTCCTGGAGCCAGTATGAACGATGTAGTGGGTATTAGACAGGTAGGCACCTTGTCAACAAACACATTAAGCGCAACCACACCGGGGATATCAAACAACAGCCATTCACTTTAAACAACAAGCTGAAATAAAATAAAATCAAAAATGCATACAGATGCGGTGGCATGACTCTTCCCTAAATTACCATATGAAGTAAGTTGGTTAACACCAAATCCGTGATAAGTAAGAAATGTCCACAAGTTACTTAAAAATGCTACAAACGCAACAAAATTACCGAAGATAAGCGCAATTAGCGTAAGCAACGTGGCCAGTTAATAGAACATTATTCAGGTAGGCAGAACAAACCAAATAAAGTAGAATGAAATTTATCCAGCTTAAAAAGACCTAGTTTAAGTGTAAGTTGGTTTAGCCCAACCGCGGTGAAGAAGCATCAAGAATGCAACATCAGCCTCAGCATGGGGCACTTAACTATATATATATATATATATATATATATATATATATCAGCAGTCTGATTACAGACAACGTACCATCAGAATCATTGCAAAAATGGGGAAAGAGGAATGCAATAACAAAGAAAACGAGTTATTGGGGTTTACACAGGCCAGTTTGTGTGTTTGCGGTTTTTGATTTTTATGCTGGATTACACATTAATAGATGAAACGATTGAACAGCACTCTCGCTACTGCTGCTTGCTGCGCGCCATAGACTCCGACGTTTCTAATCACTGGCAGTCCAAATCGCGTGGTCGCCATCTCCTGGAAGGCGGACCGGTCCGACGGATGCTAAGCTCGAGGTTGCATTGCACATTCTGCTCCTCCACGTCATTGATTGTCCACCGCGGCACTTTTTCCAGTCGCATCCGGGGAGCGTAAATATTGCTCGTCAGGGAAAACGATAGAACGGCATGTGTAATACGTGGCCGGGTCAACGCATGCGGTGTCGGAGAAAAAGGTTTTGGAGACATAGACTGTTTACTTTAAGCACTTGGTCTTGGATTCTTGTGTTGTTAACGTGATGTTGCCACCACATGCGAGCAGTCCTATGCGGACCAAAACTGAGAATTGTTACCCTATTTTCAAGCGAATAGACCAGGACTCACTGCCGTACAAGAGAACCGCACGGACAGAGACAACGTACACCCTACCCTTGAGCTTGAGACTGATGTTGCGACGATAAGTGTCTCAGTCGGATGAATACAAGGCGAGCCCTTGCAATCCGTTGTGAGACTTCATCTCCAAAGCCACCATCCGTGATTAAAGTCGCCAGATAAATGAAGCAGGAGACTAGTTCCAGGACGTCACCAGCATTAGTGAGAGCAGGTTCGAGCATCTGCCTGTCAATCCTGGAGTAGTATTTTACATTTGTCTGGGGTGTAATACAGGTCATACTTAGACGCCTCTATTGTTAAGAGTTCAAAGAGCTCTAAACGACTTGTGAATCGTCCCCAAATAGAGCGATATCGTCAGTGTAGTCCAAGTCCACGACTATGTCACCTGGGAGAAGCGCAATACCACAGTGTTGGGCAAGTTCCAGTGCTCGTTGGACGATATCTTCAATGGCAAAAGTTCAGAGGAAAGGTGAAATAAGGCAAATATTAGCGAAACCCGCTAGTGACAGCAAACGGAGAAAGAAGCTTGCCGTAAGCCCTGACTTTGCCCGACGTGTGGATGTAAAATTCACCCAGGATGATTATACACTTGTCAAGCACATTTTTCGTTAGTAGACAGTAACGCAACGCAGATCTAGCTACTAAATCAAATGCCGTTCGGATGTCCAAGAACACTACGACCGTCTTCCGCGCTTAACCTTGGTAGGGATCAGCTAGAAGTCGTTCAAAAATTCAATTACCCGGGAAGTTGTACCAGCGGCCTTGGGATCGAAGACGAGATCACGAACCGTATAGCAAAAGCTCGAGGCGCTTCGACACCTATGGCGTCGGCGCGACATCTCTCTCGCCTTGAAGTGTAGAGTGTACATTGAAGTGATACGTTCGACCCTACTGTACGGTTGTGAAACCTGGCCCCTTAGATCAGCCGATATAAAGAGGCTAGTTACGTTCGACCACCGATGCCTTCGCAATTTAGCTCATTTCTGGTGGGAACAGCGCGTGAGTAACGAGCGTGTTCGACGCCTTGTTTAGGGCACAGGAAAAGGAAATGAAGCGCTCAGTACCGTTAGTACATACACAAGACTCCGATGGCTCGGCCACGTGTTACGCATGCCAGCCCACCGACTCCTGCGACGCGCTTTGTTTGCGCGCCGAGGGTCTGGATGGAAGAAGAGGAGGGGTGGCCAAGCGATGACTTGGTTGAGAGGAATTAAGGCCCTAACTTCTGAGCTGGCCTCAGTTGGAGCGTCTCCGCTCCCTGGTTGGGGTCCGAAAAACGATGAACACGTTTGGCTGGATACACTTGTTGATATGGCTAGGAACCGACCTCAATGGCGTTCGTGCCGCGAGTATTTTTTTGCCTCTCTCCATCCCTGTTAGCCTCCCACTCCAAGCACAATCTCAGTTCATAGCATAATTTTACATAATGTTTTGTTGCCAAGTAGCGAGCTGGCAGCTTTCGGGAACGAGGCCCATCCGCTACTGGTAGCTCAGCTAGCATGCGCCTGTTGCATGATTTTTTTTCTTTTATGTATTGCGGCACAGTAGCTCACGTATATGATGATGAGGATGATGATAGGCTGTCAGGGCCGGAAGCATTATGACGTTACCAAGGGAGTAGTATATAGCTACGGTGAGCATCAATAGTTAGTCAAACAGAAAGCATGTGGATGTTGAGTAACTCAATGTGATAGTGCTCTAGGACTGATGACAGACCAAGTTTCCGTAACAGTGTGGCTTTTTAAGCCCAATGTTGGCCTCATGCCTACAAACACGAGGAGAGCATTCGCGAAACTGAAGACCGAAGAAAAGAAGAGGGTATCGGTAGTGATTTCTTGTAAGCACCTGATAAAAACATCAACAGCAGTACGTCAGCCATTTGAACTGATATTTCGCTTCGGTACAACCATGTTGGCCTACGGAATGAAGAAGAGGGAGTGAAACCTTAAGACCCTGAGGAAACACACAAGATTCAGATGTCTATACCTTGTCAACAACAAAATGTCACAAACAAGTGACTATCTTGTAAAGATAAGGTGGCTTCGGCGAGATAGCGTCCTTGCGGCTTTCATTTCTCTGTGTCATCATCAGCCATTGGCCCGCAGATAACTCAACCCCAAAACACACATCAAACAAGCAGGTGGGTACCTGATACTCTTCGACCACTCAATCTGAAAGACCGATTTGTTCACCAGCAGGCAACACTAGCCTTTGACCCAGCAATTTAGTTCACAAGATACGAGGTAATAACAAACGCAGCTCGGGAATGTGACTGAGACTAAGCGCATGTAGCGTTGTAGGCACAAAAACAGCGGAAGCCGCGCATGCATTTTGTTTGCGGTGGGCCACGCAGTTGCGACCACTATCGACTGAAGGTAGGATATTAGTACGGAGACACATTCGCCAAAAGCTGCTTCACTTGAAATGGGCGGTAACAAGCCACTGAGCAACGGGAGGTAGTTTTCCACCGTTGAAGATCGAGCCCTCCACAACTCTCCAGGAGAGTGCAAACAAGGACATTGTTATGTCGGTACCCCGTGACTGCTTCCACCCACTAACGGTAGTAAAAACACAAACAACCAAGGACAAGGATTGAAAGTACTTTACACAGGGGAAACCACTTCGCCATATAATATGACACACAAGCGTGAAGGCCCACCAGAGTACGGAAAACGTGCGGAGAAAATAGGGTCCATAAAGACTGAACAAATAAGGAACCAATCAGTTGCGCATAGAGAACGGGAATTGAGATAATTAGGATCAGAGTAGGGCTGCGATCTGAAGGCAAAATAACGACTCCAAACAGCCAATAGGGATAGAGAAATGAGACGTTAAAACAAATGTCAGTGAACCTCCAGAGCAAAACGAAAGTCTGCAGTCATGAACGTTAACAAAAGCATACCTTCATTTTTACTGTTCCTCTAACAGACATTGTCCGACCTCCAACCGTTGGGCTGCCGGGGGTACCAAAGACTTTAAAGATACCCGTGAAGTAGTATCAAAGGAAATGATGGCAATGATCCAATGACACAAAAAAACAGTCTTACTGTCAGGAATGCAGTGGCACTTACGGGAACCGGAGGAATCATTCAGACTTCTGCGGAAATCCAGTTTGTAATAACACAGAAGGGTTCGCATGGATTTGTGAAACGAAGGTCGTGTACAGTTTGGACCAGGCTATGCTAATATAAGTTTAAATTGTAGTTGTACTCCTGTCTACTACGCCATTTATTAACATCCTTCATATATTCGTAGGCAATAAATACTACCGTGCTAAAAAAAGAAGGCGAACATTTGATATAACGTCTTTTTTCACTGTGCAATATTTCGAACACTACCCCCAAGCAAAGTAGTCCCATCTACTGGTAGTATACCTTTCTCAACCGTGCTTCCATTTTTCAGAAAGCTTCTTAGAACGTATTTTTTGGGATGGCGGACATGCCTTTTGTCACATTGTAATCAATCTCCTCTATGTTTTGGGAACGACCTCCTTTCAGAATGATTTTAAGGAAACGAAACAGGAACAGATCCGATGAGGCTAGGTCCAGAGATGATACGATGGATGGAGCAGTGGGAATTTGATGTTTTGCTAGCTAGCTGAGGATAATGAGCGATTCGTGAGGCGGCGCATTATCATGATGCAACAACCAAGTCTGCACTGACACGACACATCTCAGGTTTATCGCCCAAAAGTGGATGGCATGATGCCAGCTGATACCCACTACGTCATTAACATTTCGAGCAGTTGGACGACGATTTCTATGGGTCACCCACGAACCCTGTCGGTATGGCCATCGTCAGTTGATGTAGGATGTCGTGCAAGCCTGGTGTCCTCACCGTCCGACAATCTATCGCGGTTCAAAACGCACTACACAAAGCATTGCGTGAGACTCATATAGTCCTACATTTATGGATGGCTGATCAAATGAAATGTCTCTGTGAGTGTCTTAAGAAGCTGGTAGCAAAACTCCAGACACATACACAATGTTCGTCAAGGTCAAGTCTGACTAATCCGATGAGCAGTTCGTGCAAGGGCTCATTATAGTGGCCGCAGCTCGACAACCAACAAGCAGAATGAAACGCGGCAAATGACATTTTTTGATGTACTCATGAGTATGGGGTTTGATATAATTAATTGAGGTTCTTCGCAACCAGCTTCCAAATCAGATAGTCGCCTACCTGTCGGGAAAAACACTGAACTGCAGTTTCAGCCTGTTGGGCATCGTCAGTAGTGCGCATTCATCTGATCCATCAGAATTCGAACCCATGACCACCAGAGGCTTAAACCGCGAGTCAGCAGCTAATGCCACTGGGCCATGGGGGACAGCTTCAGACCGTCATCATTTACAAGCTAACTGTGATGCAGCGCGTCTTGTACTCCGCTGCCATGCAAGTTACGAACGTTGCAGAGGACAGGGTTGGCCCCGAAAGACACGACGTCCACTGACAGTAGCTATGTACGACATAGTATTTAGAAACCGTTAGTGCGGACATATTTTTGATGTACTCATGAGTAGGGGATTTTGACATAATTAATTGTGGTTCGTCGCAGCAAGCTCAACGTTCGTAGCTTGCATGGCAGTGGAGGATAAGATGCACTGCACCGCAGTTAGGTTGTAAATCATGACGGTCCGATGCTATCCCCCGTGGCCCAGTGGCATTGGCTGCTGACGCGGTTCAAGCCGCTGGTGGTCATGGGTTCGAATTCTGATGGAGCAGATGGATGCGCACTACTGACGATGCCCAACAGGTTGAAACTGCAGTCTAGTGCTTTTCCGGACAGGTTCGGAAGCTGGCTGCGAAGAACCTCAATCAAATGGCATTTTGTTGTCTAAACATGTCTCTATGTGCGCGCAGTAGCCGCAGCACGCTACCTCTGCCGGTTGGTTCGCTATTTTTAGAGCTCGCTTTCTTTTTGAAAACATTAGTAAATACACAGATTGTTTAGTTTCGGTAGCGCTAGGCATGCCTGCATAAGCATGATCATGGTGGTACAAGCAAGTGTAAAGGGCAACGAGAATCAGCTGATCGAAAAAATAGGGAGTTGTCCAGGTATGGTTAGCTGTGAAGGCACGTGGTACAAGAAAGTGGAATAGAATGTTTTGTTCTGATAAAAGAGACAGACGCCGGTGTTGCGCGATGGGATGTGCTGAAGAAACGGACAATCGTTGTATTCGATAAGGAGGGACCAGATAAATACCTGTAAATTGATTCCATTGATATCGAATAAATTTACTCTATGACTGAAAGTTGCAATGGAAGCTGTGTGCGAATGCAGAAAGCTCATTCCTAACATGACTGGAAAATAAAAGAATGCATGGTAAAGCAGTAAAGTGTTGGACACCAGACAACGGTTAGACACAAGCCTGGAAGTCGCTGGGCATTCAGGGTCTAGACAAGCGCATCAAAGAGGTAAATGAGGACATCCGTATGCTGAACAGTTTCGTTGGACAACATTCGGCGTGACGCAGTCGCTCAGGGATCAAACATACACGAATGCAACCTAGCAAATGCGGAACGGGGGCCAATACAAATCAGTCAGCACTGGCTCAAAAATGGTATGAAGAAATAAGCATACCCTTGACGATCACGTTGATAAAGTCGCCAGTGTGAAAGTAAGCGCAATCCACCAAGCGTTGGGCATCCCCAGTAACGGCAGTTCCGTTTGACTCGCTAGTCGGGTACCGATTGTCCGGGGGCAGCTGAGCTGCAGCGGCTAGAAGCTGCGCCGTCTCTCCGGACGAGCTGGAGGAGGGGGGCTGTGACGTGGATGAGCCGCTCAGGGTATGGAAACGAGGAAGTCTTCTAGCTCCCGGCGGGCGTTCAGGGGGCTCAAGATCAGGCTGCCTGATGAGAATGGGAGATGGAAAAACGGTCGAGCTGGCAGGGGAGAGCAGCAAGGATGAATCTATGGAATGGGAATGACCGGACGATCCTGTGGGATAGGCTGGTGCGAATGATCCTGTGGAACCTGTCGGCACGGAACCTGGAGAAGGTGCCGGTGCGGATGATCCTACAGAAGGTACAGGTGCGGATAAGGCTGCAGGGGATTGCAAGGCAGATGAAGTTACTGGAGACAGCACTGAGCTTGGGGGAGTAGGGGCTAAAACAGCGCGTACGCTCGGTTCCTGAGTATTTTCCGGGGCGTCACGAGAAACAACGAAGATATTGTTTTCAACCTCAGCGGCCAGAAAGTGCTCATCATCCAGTATCTCGACGCAGGTTGTCCAACGAGGATTGCGATGGCGGCCGATCTGGATGGGGCACCGAGGAAGGACAAAGTAAATACAAGACAGCTGTAGCACAGTTGGGATGGAGGGACAAGCAGCTGAAATGCACCGTGTTATTTCAGCAGCCAATGGGGCGCAGAAGTATTTGATGTTGGAATGCGAATAGTATATCAATGATGCTGTGTACAGATGGGACAAAAACGCAGGACGCGGAAACAAGTTAACAGTCTCGAATTCTATGGAACGATCTGTGGTATACTGGTTCGAAAGAGTCCGACTTGCGAATAAAGCGTCCTCGCTGTATGCTTTTGGACGAACTTGCAATTCCCCGTTAGTAGTTAATTGCGGATGTGTGGCATCTAGTACTGCTGTACAGATGATGCCAACAAAGTGGAATCTAGAGGGGCGAAAAGTGCCCATCAATACTAGACTACCGTACCATTAAGTAGCCGCAATCTCGGTCTAACGCGCCGATGCTCTGTTGCTATGTAACCGAAAGCAGCTATACGCAGGAGGAGGTAGTACTCAAATCTATACGAGAGAGTGTGATCGAATCGAGGAAGTAGAGCAAGCAAGGCGAACGACTGAAACCACTATACCACAGATGCCTTGAGGTGCCGTGCAATCTGAGCTGAAAAACGGAAAATGATCAATGTCTAAAATTCGAATGATAGCGTGAAATTAGAGGATGTAGGTTACTGGGATTGCTGATGAGGAACAATTATAACCTATGTGCGTGTGTGTGGGATTCACATGCCTAGGCTCATTTCGCTGTACCAAGGTTTGCAAAAACAGAGTAGATGAAGGAAAGAAGCTGTCAGTTTAATAAGACCGGACGAAGAAAATAAGTATACAACGAAGTAAATCGCCTCCAGGCTACTTTGGCCGCTCGGGAGTCGTCAGTGGACCGCACATATCATTTGTCGGCGTATGAGGAGAGCTAGGGTACGCGACGGCACACTAACAGGACAGAAGGTGGGGACAGTTGAACTCATATGGGTGCATTTTCAGCATTTTACATTATCAACTGTAAATGTACCAAAGAGTTACCATAAAACTGCTAAGTTTAAAAATGAGTATAAAAAGGAGAATGATGCACTGTCATAGATTGATCGAGCAACGATCCAAAAAATCTGAACGAACTCTTCGGGATTTGTATCTATTCAAAACGGAAAAGCTTTCATTAACATTTTTCTTCAGAATTCGTTTCAATTGACGCAAAATGTTTTGTCCAAAGACAGTAGATAGGGGATCGTGCGCGATATGTCGCTTTTATATTCAAAAGTGGATGGAGTAGAGGGTCTCAGTGACCTTGGAAGTTGATTGAACAAAATATCTGCCAGCTTGCACTTGAAGACTGAGATGTGTACGGCAGATAATGCAAAAAACGATGTTCGGAGGTAAGGCAATGGCCGATTTAAAGGGGCCGGCACTTGTCTTATTGAGTTCGGTTGAACAAATATAACACATTCAACGAATTGCGATCCAATCAGTTGTCACGAGTCATCGCAAGAATAACAATAGCAACGACAAAAAAGGTTGAAACCAAATGGAATACAAAGAAAATGGAATCAAGATAGAAGTGTGCTAAACTAATCGGCAAGGAAAATTAACGGTTAGATGGAAGAAACCGAATACAGGAACCCCACTGACTGCGCCATGTCTGATAGAGTCTCACCCGGCGTGCATTATACGCCGTGGCTGCACCACACTGGGTGAAACCGCGAGGTGGCCAGTCCATGGCGTGACATAGAAGTGTGAAGAAATTTTCAGAGACGTGGTCGGGCTAATGCGTGCCGTCAACGTGTATGGAGGCTTCCGGATAGTCCACACCGGTGATTGGAATTCCTACTGGACGTGGAGCGATCGCGCAGTGAGTGGCGTTCCTGTATTCGGTTTCTTGCATCTAGCTATTAATTTTCATCTCCTACCGATTCATTGTTCGCACTTCCATGATGTTTTGGCTTTCTTTGTATCCCATTTACTTTCAAACACATTTTCTCGTAGCTGTTATTTATTGTTATTCCAGTGAAGTGAGTAGTGGCAACCGGATCGACCGGGCTTCGGTGCCCGGATCATAGTTGTTCAACAAGGCAAAGGAATAATTAGATCAAATCACTCCGGGGGTTAATGCACATGAGAACAAGGATGTGTGGATTCTCAGGGTCCCAAGTATGATTTCAGACATCTGGACCTGGAGTGATCGCTCAAGAGCAAGGTGCACAACGCTGCGATAAGGCCAGCGTTACTGTACGGATCAGAGACATGATCATTGCGTGCGGTGAAGTCACTAAGCAATGATCGTCTCTGATCACCGCTGCTTGAAAGCACCGGATGAGTAATACTGGCTATTCGCAAGCAGCCGTTTGAAGAGAATCTCGTGTGCCATATTGTATGAATGAAAAAATCAGAACCACTCACAGACCGTGTCCCGCCCTGCGTATACTCGTGGATCGCACACCACAATGCGAACTGTTTGCCGTTGCCGTCATTAAACGGACGAAATCATCAGGTGATCGGGAGATAACAAAGCAGAAAGACATGGAGAAATTCACTGAAGACTGATTAAAGTTAGTCCTCATTGTCATACTGAGTGCAGACTTCAGGATAGGTCCTAATCAGTGACTCAACGCATTAACCGATAGGATTAAATAATCATGGAACCAAAGGGAGTTTCCGTATTCGATATCCTGCTGTGTATGTAACCTCATTCTACCAAACGGTTATTCAGTATTGTCGAGATGATGCTAGGTACTGCACGCTGGATGCGTCACCGTTTGACGCGCAGTACCGGATGCTTAATAACTGGCATGAATTTGAGAGATGGGCAGGGTAAGGAGGGAGGCGGAGCAGAAGCAAAACAGACATCACTAGTGTCTGGGATGAATCCAGTTTGAAGATGGGAATGACACACGTAGAGACGACAGATTTGCGCCGTTTCTCCTGTTGGTTTGGGGGAAACAAAGCGTGGGAAATGTTTAAAAAAAAATAAACGACTTACCGCTTCAAAATTGTTCACATTGGGTCGGAAAAGAAGCAGTGTCAGTGACCGCATTAGGTCGCCAGCCAACACGAAATCGCCTTTGTGTCGTAGAAATAGCACCAGGATGTTTTCGTTAAACGCGCACGATAGCCGCAATGAGTCCCCTTTGATATCGAACAGCCGCACCTGGGATAGATGGGAAAATGATGGACTCGTGATACGTTTATGAAAACATGTGATGGTAAAGTACGGCCGGGTAGATCAAGATGACAAAATGATCGCGGACTAGTAAAATTTAGTCCCAACAATCATACATAATTTCTTCGAAGTATAATTCAAATCAAAGTCTTCCACATGTCCGAAAAGGCACTAGAGGACTTGTTGGGCCTCATCAGTAGTGTGCATCTATCGGAATTCGAACCCTGGCGGTTTGCACAGTCAGCCAGCAGCTAATGCCACTGAGCCATGGGGGACAGCTTCGGACCGTCATGATTTACAAGCTAACTGCCATGCAAGTTACGAATGCTGCATAGGACAGGGTTGGTCCCGAAAGACACGACGTCCACGGACAGTAGCTATGTAGGACATAGCATTTGGAAACTATTAGGGCGGATATATTTGATGTACTCATGAGTAGGGATATCGATATAATTAATTGAGGGCTCGTCGCAGCCAGTTCCAAATCAGATAGTCGTCCACGTGTCCGGAAAAGCACTAGACTGCAGTTTCAGCCTGTTGGGCATTATCAGTAGTGCGCATGCATCGAATCCATCAGGATTCGAACCCATGACCACCAGCGGCTTGAACCGCGAGTCAGCAGCTAATGCCACTGGGCCACGGCGGATCGCCATGATGTGGAGGCTGGACGCAGTATGGCGCGTCTCAGATCAAGAGCATCTGAATCAATGTGGTTGGCATCTCCCATATGCAATGTCAAGGACATGTGAGCAATCCAGCGTTGGACTGAACATAAACAAACGCTGGAGAATCCGGATGGCTCACTGATGTGCGCCATCTGGAGAACTTTTCGCGAGAAGCGAAATAATTGACGGCCTCGACTGTGAATACTAGTGCAGGGTTCCGCGGACAAAAGCCAAAGCCGGCAAGCAGATAATGGTAAGTCGTTGCGACAATTTACAGTTGACCACTTTTTATGCTCCCTATTGACAGGGTACGGCATCTTTTTACCAAGCACCAATCTCCCATGGATCTTTTGAAATAACAGTAACCCGTTCTCAAATGCCAAAAAAGTAAGTTGATGGGCAAATACTTCAATAACAATTGTGGCAACAAAAGCGCTAGCGAAAATACTCTGTCTACTAATACAGACAGTAAAACCCCCATTTCTTCATTTTTGTTGATTCCCAATAAATGCATGGCTCATCTATAGCTTTGTCAAGGGTCTGTTCTGGAACCTGTATACGACAGAGAGGAGAAGTACCACGGAGAAGTGCGCTGACAATGTCAACCGAACCGACAGTAAAATATCTCAAGAGGTCTGGGATTGTGGCAACCAGGTCAGTAGAAAGATATCGTCGTCGCACATTAAAGTGAACCCATAGTAGTTACAAATGAGTACCCAGCCATCAGACAGTTATACAGTAACTGACGGTGAAGCCCAATACGAAGGTCAAGTGTGTGTAATCGTTCCCATAGATGGTAGTAAAGTCTCCATTCTATCTCCGAAAGAAGGGAGAGCGACAGACTATGTGCAGTATCCAATATGAAAGCAAAGTAGGCTCCGCAGTTTCGCGCAGTGGTCGAGAAAATTAGAGGACACAAACGCACAAAAATTGCGCGGTTGGATGCAAAACGTTAAAACCATCAGAGAATATGTTTGCCGTTTGTTGAAACTGAGCAAATTTAACGGTGCCATGCCGGCCTGTGGGTCGCGTGAATTAACAGCACACAGCCTAGTCTTCGTCCAAAGCTTCAAATCCAACAACCAGATCAACAGTTGCTCTCCTTAAACCCTGCTCCGTCCTACATTCGGTGAAAAATCAACGCCTTCTCCGATAAGTGATGACCAGGCACACCTAGCACTTCTCTAAAGTAAAGCAACGTATTCAATGTCACCTGTTGCCCCTAGCTACTAACCTGATCATCGTGGCCTAATACTTGCTTGGGCATATCACCACAGCGGACACGCTGATGTCAAACGACACTTTCAATTGTTCGTAAGTAATGATTGTCAAAAAGTTGAAGCATCACAGATCCTCACATCAAAGGTTCTGCCTCATCTTCATGAAGTACCATAGCTACCACTGAGGACCATGCATACAACGCCTTTCGGACCAAAAGCAATCTCTTTCTGGTGTCCCAGATGTGTCAAATTCATAAAAGTAGCCTTGGTTGGGGAGGGTTTCATTCGAAACACCCATTGTGTGAATGGATTCCGACGCGCAATCTCAAGGTGGACGGCGATTCGCAGTTAGAAGTGAACCTTGGTCACTGCGGTCACTGGGACCGTAACTGATGAAGCAAATGAATATTGGGTGTTGCCCGCCCGGAAACACTGCACATCACTACGAGATCAAACAAGATTGAAATACGTAGTGGAGTTGAGTGTTTTCGAGCGAGAAAACCGTCTTGGCTTTCGGAGTACATGAACTCATGTCATAAGTCACGTGCTCCGCTGCAAACACAACTGCCAAGGTGGGAAAATTAACAAACCAGTTTCAGTTCCTCGATATCAAGTCAAGGGGCTAGCAAACGGTTCGTGGCACTACGGTAGCAGTACTTTGTGTTCTGAAGTTACAAAACGCAAGCGAAAATATGAGACCAAAAGAAAGAGTTTATCCAGAGTTGATTGTGCCGCTTCCTGGTTGCCAAGTGACGATAAATAGTGCTGAATGCATTCGGATAATCTGAGGTCAAATAGGTACTGTGATGACACAGCCGCCGGCAGCCGAACTCCGACAGTATTGCAGCAGTTGGCACTTGCAAAAGGAACAATTAAGGAACTTTGTAATTAGAGTTAGGAGTGTAAGGAAATTAGGGGAGGAAAAAAGAATGCGTTAGTAGTATCATGTATTGGTTTATCTGCCCCGATGTGTGCATTAGACAAGGCGACTATTTGAAGTTATGTGACGACCGACGCAAGATGTGGCCGGGGACCTGTAGTAAATTCACCCAAGGTCATACGTGGGATGGGATACTGTCAGAGTGCCAATAACTAGACAGAAGAACTATCAACGTACTCAACGAATTGGTCCCTCAACGCAACTGTAGTGTGGGAATGATACGGTTCAACAGAAATGAATGGCACTCCAGTGTCAATCCAAACCTGGAAAGTCAATACGGTGGTAGCAGCGGCTATCAAGTCACGTGAGGGCACCACCAAGCATAGCGCAATGGAATGGGGGAGGTACGCAAGTCAGGGCACCATACTGAGGTTCAGTTTTGTCGTAAAGCTATTGTAGACATAATATAACCGGTGTACATGAGTAGTACCAGCCCCATGGTCTCGTCACATACTGGTAATGCAACCTAGACAAAAAATAAGCCGTTGATGAGGCAAATGGTTACGAAACACCCGGTGTCCGAGGTTGTGTGACCAGCAGTAAAACCTCGACCGATACTCCATGTGATCCGCAGAAGTCCGCATCCTGGTCAACCAAGTCAAGTTGGCCTGAGGATAGGTTATAACGACCGCGAACCAACATGCTCGAGGAGCAACTGTTACATTCGGCATCTTCCACCGAGGAGGTAACCGTACTCTTTGAAGCGATTTGAAGTCCGCGGACAAGACAAACAAGCTATGCCAAAACGGACTGCGCATGTGTTGACCTACAAAAGCAGTTTCTGCACTTAGGCTGAAGAGGTTGGAGCTCTTCCTACCATAACACCAGAGTGTCAGAGTATGGCTGCGCGCTCCTCTACTGTCCGATCATCCGGACAGAGAGAAGAACAGATGGAACATGTCGATATCTAACTCGTCTCTAGTTCATGAGGTGCGCTCTACGAAAATCAGTATGAGATCAGGACCGTCCCATCATACGATGCAAGTAGATCTCTCTCTTATCGCGATCTATCGCATTTCACTCCCAAATCACTAGCCTAACTGAGGCCGCTGCTCCCCACCTAACATGCCATGCACACACACACACACACACACACACACACACACACACACACCTGGACACAGGAATCACACTAACCCTCCGTGTGTCGAGGAGCAAGTGGTCAATGTGGGGAATAGCTTGCTAGAATGATGTCGCAATTCAAGACAATCCTCCTGAACACATATTTCGTGAATGTGTGGTTCGCAGAAAATGACCTAATTTGAGGTAGACATACTGCATTTCTGAGAATTATGTTTGTGAGAATAGACAATAAACGACACCAACTTACTAGGTGCTAAGTCTAATCAAAAGAGAATACTGTACTGAAAATTAAATAGAGGCGTATACGGTTTTGGAAGCGAGCTGTGAAGACCATTCAAGCAGAGACGAAAGCCAACTTACGGAACTATTGATGGCTGCAAGCAGCCGACCATTAAAATCAACCAGACGGTAGACAGCTCCGTTCACATCGTACACCATGACGGTGTCTAGTCTGGCGGCATCCGGATCCCAATGGAACACATGGATGCGGCCTTTGGACGGCTCAACTTCATCCTCCACTAGGAACGCAGTACCGACTGCGTAGTAAGCACCTTTGGAGCAGCCTTCCGCCGGCTTGATCGAGGTGATACTGATGGCGATCTCGATCAAAGTTTGACTGTAGTGGAAGGAATGAGCAAACATCAGCTCCAGGGTGGACTGATTGAAGATAAGCAAGGAGGAGACTTCGAGCTCTCGGAACTTTCGTTCTGTGACAGACACGGATGCTAATGTGAAAGGAAGAGGAGTGACAAGGGGATGGGAAAGCAGGCACGGGTGTTTT